CCTGTTGCCACATATACCTCTGAACATTCTCTGCCTATAGCCCATTGTTAGGTTTCAAATCAAGCTTAAAATCTGTATGAGTTCTTTATCTCTCAAGAAACAGCGAACTGTAAATTCACAGCTATCAACAACACTTTAACTTAAAAAAAAAAATAGCCATGTGGCGTGTAAAATCTTCTCCTTTTTTTTTCCTTTAAGGTTGAAATTCTGTCTTGCGGCATTTACAGATTTTTTTATTATTATTATTAATGTCGGCTTTTAAAAATTCTTCAGTCACAAAATTGTGGCATTTCAACCTTTGTAATTCCTCCAGCTGTGCAAATGTTGTCTCCACTTCTGAATGTCTGCTCTTATTGCGGTACATGGTGCCGGTATCTATGGCGACAGCTCAGCACAGCACGTCTCTATTTTGGGAGTTATCTACTATTTTTATCAAAATGACTCCGAACACGCCCTGAGAAATTGAAGGAGGACATCATTGTATTTGCTTAATTGCAGCTAATTCTGGGAACACACTTGGGCTTTGATATTAGGGCTTTTTAATTTTTGATTGAACTGCTGGCAAATCTTTGAGGCAACGTAATTCTGCTATTTATGCATAAATCAATTATTGCACTATGATTTATAAAACAAAATTGTTTTTTTGTAGAAACTTGTTTTGTGTTGTTATGGCATATTTATTTATTGATTGCGCTTCAGAACTGTGATTTATTTTTTTATTTTTATTTTTAAATATTGTGGTAGTTCTTGATTTGTAACGGGGGACTTTGATGCATTGTGAAATGTGTATTGCTACAATTGCATGAATGCTTTTAAATGTTAGCTCATATAATTTATTTAGTCCAGAAATTATACTGCTGACTATTGTGATTGTTTAGTGATTTTGTTACTATTAAATTATTTTAATGATTTTAAAGAATAATTTGTCATAACAAACTCAACAATATAGCCTCTGTAACACCTAAAGTACTTGGAAAGTTTCCACCGCAGAAACTAGGTGGAGATGGACAGGTGGTTTTGCAACATATACACCTTTGTATATGTTCCAGTTGTAGGACTAATTTGTGAGGGTAGAAAAAGCTTCCAGAAAAGCTTCAAGGGGCTCAATGCTGTTAGGTTAAATGTTGAATAAGCACTGTTTTTGAAAATTAGCAACCTGTCAAACAAGACAAATAACATGAAATTGCTGTAAACTGCTGATGTATGAAACAGCAATGGCTGTTTGAGACCCACCACCACCGCTTTTAAATTAAACACAACAATACAGCAAACTGCCCAGTATTTGGAAGAAATTATTTAACAAGTCGGTCAGAAAAGTTTAGCTTGAACCCCACCACCAAAGTTGCTGTTCTACCTCCTGAGCAAGGACTCTCTTGGAGGTACACCTCAGAATTGTAATTGTACCCTGGTTCCTTCAGTGAAATGTTCCTGCAGTGGAAACTTGACTCAACACTACAGAATGTAACACTTAAACCTGGCCTCTTGAAACCTGACATGGTTTGGCCGCAAACAGTACTTAAATTGCTGGAGAGAAAAAGTAAAAACTTGAAAATAGGTTGATATTAAATCAGTTACTTGATTCTATAATTAAATATCTTACTTCTTGGACCTGCTGGCTGTTATGAAAATTAGAGGGCTTTTTGAACTGTTGGTTTGTTGATGAAAGTGCTGTTGGTTTAAAAAAAAAAAAGTTAAGTTGAGCGTTTCTTCAATCATTCCTTCTGCTGTTAGCAGAATGTTATCATTTGCCTTCAGCAACTAATCAATAAAACAGTTCTTTAATCAATCGCCTGTTGTTATTTTTTTCTAGAATAATGGTTTGTTTTACAGTTATCAGAGTTGTACTGCAGCTCAAAGGTTTTACAACTTTTTACAAGGGCTAGAATCCAGTAGAGCAATGCATCATGTCACTTCCTTCTGCAATACATCAACATTATAGTGGCACTCCAAAAATTAAAGTGCATTTGGGGGGAAAAAACTACACGGCAAACACTGATAATAGGCTGCATTTACAATATCGTTTTCCTGGTGTAATAAACCACAAAAACATCTTGCACTACAAGCTACATTCCACTTCTTTTTTTCAAATGTTATTATTTAAGCTGAAAGTTTTGTACCATTCAGAGTTCATTTTATTTCATTATTGATGGCTAGCAAGTCTACTGCCAAAAACATTTAGCGTGTAACTTTTTTTTTTCTTAAGCTTATTTCAAACATTGATTTCTGTAAGGATACATTACCATCATTTCATCACAATATGTTGCCTACATCTTAAGCTGCATATCACATTTTTACATTAACTCTAATAATGCGGGTGCAGTCTTGCAACCAGCACAAACTCCAGTCTCATCTATAAAATATATGGAAGTCAGAAATGACAAACCTTCAGGCAGTGCTGTTATGGGACAAATGCAACTTAAATGTGCTTGCTGCTGAAATTTTTAGTCTTCATTATTTTGTGTGCATGCTCTTTTTTTTTTTCTCATTTGAAACTTGGTTTGTTTGTGAGTAAAACATTCTAACTCCAGTTTTTACCTTTTACCTCTAGCTCCCTGGTGCCATCTTTCACAGAAGACCTGGCAGGTCAGCAACAGCGAGGGACTAAGTTTGGTCAATGTTCCACATTGGATGATGTTCTGAGTTCTTTCTGCCCAGCTCACCAATCCTTAATCTACCAAATCCTCAAGTATGCTTGCCATGAAAAAGAGACTCTCAGGAACGAAAGGGACACTGTTTTATGTTCCAAGAAGCTGCATTGCACTTCGTGTCAGAGTCTTGTTGCAGCCTCTCCTGCATCGTGCCATTCGCCTTGCATACCCTCTTCTAATTTATGCTCGTCCTCTTCCATATGTTGTGAGAAACGCAGCTTCCACTCTTGCCCCAGTTGTTCCAACCACAACTGTCTTGTCCAAATCAAGAAAACAACAGATGGAGAGGTAGGAGATGGAGACCCTCCTTGTCCTGTCCTGAAGAGAGAGCAGAGTCCCTCTCCTCCCCCTCTTTCCCCAATCCCGTCAGATTTCGGTAAGAAATGTGATGAAAACCCACCCTCTCTGCTTCACCAAGAGGAGGATGTTGATCTCATGGTACAGAGTTTTGTAACTGCAAGCTATGAAGCCTCAGATGTCAATGCAACTACAGAAGTTGCTGAAAGTAAGATCGCTGAAAGAAGTCAGGCTGATAAGAATCCAAGTGGGACTTCACTGCAGGATGTCATGGATCGTTTTAGTGAGAAACTGGAGACAATAACACCTCTAGACAAGGACCCTACTCTGGTTTCCACGGCTATCTATGTTTCTGAAAAGGAGCAGCCGTTATCTCCCTCAACCAGCCACAACCTGCCTTTTCGTGCTGATGCCCATGTCACTGAGATCATCACCACAGTGCTTCGCACAAGCAGTCCCAGTGATTACAGCTTGAGTGAGCTGTTTAGTCGCCAAGACAAAGAATCCAAGTCACCCGTTACTAGATCCCGTCATCGCCAGAACGTTGAAAAACCTAAATGCACCCCTGAGATACAGAACAACAATGACCAACAAAGTTCAATGGACAAAAGTGTACAAAAACAGGTGAATACAGTGGCTACAAGCTCAGCTAAACGGTGTGTTTTGTCCTGCAAAGAAGGTGGTGAGGGTTGCAGTTCTACAAATGACAAAAGCCACAAGGGATCCCCATCAAGTGAAACCACTGAGGCTGAAAGATCAGGTAAAGGGAAAGCTTGTGCTATTAAAGGGAGAGTGTGCCATCTGCTTAACATTTCTGAGGGTGCAAGAAGATCAAGGAGAAATATAGTCCCTCCACCGCGGTTCTCCTCCTATGTCACAGAGCCCAGACGTATGTTCTTTGTTGCGTGTTTCTCTGAACCTATCTTCAATCAGAAAGCACAAAAGGACAAGGCTTCATCTAGCACCAATCATATGTCATCCAAAGATCCAGATGCTAAGGATACCAACGTAGAATCCAGAAATGACGTTTCTTTGTCCTCATGTGCGAACACAGGGAAGCTTGCCTTTCAGTCAGCAGAAAAAGGAGATGAACTATCTCACATGGAAGTGAAAAGTCAAAGCCAGGTCACTCCACAGATTGTGACTGCGAAAGACCAAAGTCCTAAAAAACATCACTCAGGCAAAGAGAACAATAGTAGTGACAGTGTTGTCCCTCTGTTAGGACGGTTACGATCAGCATCATCAAAAAGAGTACAGGACTCATCAAATATGGATGTCCCTATAAATTCTGATACCTGTCTTGAGAGTCTTAAAAATTCCCAAGTCCAGTACACTAGTCCAATTAAACTTATGTTTGTATCACCAGTAAAGGATAACGAGGGAGTTAAATACAGTCTCAAATCAGCAGGCTCTGGTTCTGGCTCACAAACAGAACATTTTGATCCCTGTGAAGAGTCTTCATGGTCAGGGACACTTCAGAAGCACACAACCCAGAGCAAAAAGCCTGCAATATCACAAGTAAAATCAGTTGTCTCACCACTAAAATCTTCTGCCTCATGCACAAGGTCTTCTTGTTCCCCAACCAAGTCATCTTCTTCACCAGCCAAGTCTGGTTCCTCAACACGCAGGTCTGCTTCTTCACCTGCCAAATCTGGTTCCTCAACACGCAGGTCTGCTTCTTCACCTGCCAAATCTGGTTCCTCAACACCCAAGTCTCCTTCATCACCAGCCAAGTCTGTTTCCTCAACACGCAGGTCTGGTTTTTCAACACCCAAGTGTGATTTGTCACCTGCCAAATCCGGTTCCTCAACACCCAAGTCTCTTTATTCACCATACAAGTCTGATTCTTCAGTATCGAAGTCTTCTTCCTCACCAAGCAAATCTGCTTCCTTAACACGCAGGTCTGCTAATTCACCATCCAAGTCTGGTTCTTCAACACCCAAGTGTGCTTTGTCACCCGCCAAATCTGGTTCTTCAACACCCAAGTACGGTTCTTCACCACGCAAGTCTCCTTCTCTGCCCAGGTCCCCTTCCTCATCACCTAAAGATGCTTCCAGAGGATCAGGTGAAGGTACTCCAACTAAGCGCGTAGCTGGAGCTGACAGCCAGGGATTATCAGGTAACTCGACTTCTTTTCATGAAACCACTCCACCAAAAAGGCGTCCTGGGCGTCCGAAGAAACTGGGACCACAGCTGGAGCAAAAAGCAAAAAGGCCAATTGGCCGACCCCGTAAGCAGAAGACTTTGGATTCCGAACCTAAAAATGGTAAAATGGTAAATGGTAAATGTCAGTTGGCACCTAATATTGAGGAGAATACAACTAAAAACCTCAAGATAACAGTCGTATATGGCCGTTCGAGGAGAAACAAACGATTGGTGTCAGAGGGCTTTGACCAGCTGCAAACAGAATTTAATGACGCTTGGCGAGCCGTAAGTCTATTGCACAACTCTAAGACCAGCTCAGGTAGTATTAAAACAACCTCAGAGGAGTTGGATTTTGTCAGACCAGCGAAAAGGCCTGCTCCTCAATCTGGCAGTAACATCAAATGTCAAAAGCACGATGATTCTGTTCGCTCAAGGAAACCAGGTAGACCTGCAAAGGTTAAAATCTCTGGAATCTCAGTCACAGTGACCACAGTGTCACCTCGGCAACGTAAAATTCAAATCAATAAAGAGAATAGGCAGTCTCCTGAAATGCTGGCTCCTAGGAAAGAACTTCTACAAGACTTCATGTCTGCCAAAGAGCCCAGGACAATCAGTCATCAGTTAATGAGCAAAAGGGGTCAAAAAGAAGAAGGGAAAGAAACAGAGGATGGTAGTAAAGATGAACTCCCCAATCAGCCTGTAGTACGACACTCCAAGAGAGTGAGAAAGCCATCAATACACTTTTTGCATGCTGTTGCCACCTCTACATCATACAGCCGCAGCAATGCGCTGGTACGACGCTCTAAACAACTTCTTTTAAACAAGGCAAACAGTGAAAGGAGACAGGATGAGCAGCAAAGTAGTTTCGAAACTTCAGGTGAGAAGAGAAAGTCATGTGGACCACAGAAGAAGGGCGTTTCTCTAGACGTAAGCAGATTGGCAGGGGTATCTGTTGATTCGATCTTTAGGTCTAAAGAGACATTAAGGTGGTGGGCAGCATCAGCTGAGGAAAAGACAATGAACCAGGAGCTCGCCAGACGAATACAAGTCATCTCTGACACTTGGGTCTCAGACGCTGTGGACAACCAAGAAAAAGAATTGGCCCTCGATTCTAAACTAGGCACTAAAGACAGCAGTTTATTTGCCAACAATTCAAATCATTCCTCTGTGGTCCGAACACTGTTTGACTGTTCGCCCAACAAACCAAGGTCCTGTAGCATGCAGCAGATCTGCTCCTGGTTTATGGAGACCACCGAGACACAATCTCTGGCCATTGTCAAGAAGGCAAGCTCCCGTAATCGTTACGAACTTATGCACTTCCCTCGTTCTGCTAATGCAAAAAGTGTTTGCCACAGTCCTCAGGCAGAGCGACTCCGCAAACACATCAAGAAGTTTGCCAAAATGGTGCCAAAAAGCCCTTTACAGCATCAGAAGGCTCAGAGACGGCTGAGGAAGAGAAACAAAGCAGCTGTGTCAACACACAGACGACAACTTTTTACTTTCAGCATTGCAAGCAAGCGCACTCGCCAAGTCCAGCCGTTGAGAGGCAAAGCATTTAGTATATATCAAGCCACTCTGGTTAGAGCAAGGACACGTTTTCTAACCCGGAAAGAAAGGGATAGGTGGCAAAATGGGAATGGGGACAGGAGAAACATAAAAGCAGTATCATGTTGTAGAAATGAACGTATAGTAACTGGACTACAATCTAAACGTAAAGCATTATACACATCCACAAACGATCGGCACTCTGTTGGTTTGGAAAACAGTTCTGCCGCCTCTTCGGTTAGCCAAACTCGGGAACTCGTGGATGTACACAAAGAGCAGAACCTCTGCTCCAAAGCCTGGGGTCCTGAAACGCTGAAAGAATGCCGGGTGTTTCTAAGGAAGATCAACTCTCCTGATAGCGAATCGGCTGAGGAAGAGTGGGACTCTTGTACTGTGACACTGGAAGGGTCACCTTCTGCATACCTCTTTGCAGAACAGGACAGGCAACTGGTAAGATATGTTAAAGCTGTGAAAACTGAAAGAAAAAGGAGCATTAATAGGAGGACTGCCTCAAAAGAGTTGGCAGATTCTGCACCAAAATCAGTCCAGGAGCAGGAAGCAAAGCCAGCAGGGAGGCAGAAAAGAAAATTCAAGAGTCCCAGGGTTGCGTCTACTGAACCACCACAACCACCACCAGCGAAAATCTTGAGACAATCTCGAATGAGGGGCCTGACTGGGCCGAGATGGCGTGACTTTGTCCTTGGTAACTACTTTTCTTTCTTTTATTTGAATTGAAGACATTTACTTTGCCCGTGCAAAAGTTACCCAATAAACGTTTGTTCTTTTATCTTTTCCTGACAGAAAGCTAACTGAAGCATGAGGCCTCCTCTTCCTGGGAAAGGGACTGTGGTTTAACGTGGTGCCTTTGGACTTTGTGCTGACCACGTAGGCTGGCCATCTCAGTATGGTTCAGTCTTACAATCAGCAGCTATGTAGCAGTCTAACTTAAAAGCTTGATGTTGCACTATTTTTATCCATGGATATGTATGTACATTTTGTCATCTTGCCTTTGTCTTTCTGAAGGTGTATAGTAGATCAATATAATAGTTACTTCAGAGTTTTAATGGAAAGAGTGCTTATACCGTGAACCCTGTCAGAGTGGTCATAGAGGAATGAAAGCTCGACTGCCATCTCCCTAAAAATGTACCTTTACTGATACTAAGACCAACACTTCTTCTCGGAAATGAGCCCTTACTGTATATCTTAACCTGACATTTATCATAATTTTTACTACTTTAAGCCACAATGCCAGCTCTAAAACCCCCACTTATTTTATTTATAGTGACTCGTACTTTGGCACTGTTTTGAATGTTTAATTTGTAATTTAATATTTGCTTTTGTATTTTAGGTTTGCTTAAAGTATATTGGAATTTGATTTGAAACTTTCTCTTAATCCGAGCCTTTTGTTTTCTCTACTGCTGTCGTAAACAAGTAGCCAAAACAGGCTTTTAATGAAGGAATCTTTCAGTTCACTTAACACCCAATCTTAACTCCAGTAGCTATCTGTGAAAAGGCCACAGCTGTAAGAGTGTGTCTTGAAATGCACTAATTGGCCTGTACTAAAACCAAATATTTGATGTCATGAGTTCTTTTTCAAGAGCATTTACAGTTGTCAATTCCCCACAAAATGCAGAGGTGTCTGTGAAGTGACAAAGAAATGGCATTATGCAGTTGTAGAACATAGCTTCTGGTTAATTTCATGGTTTGTGGGATCTTTCTTGTTTTTATTCAGTTATCTTTCTAAGAACGTATTGTTTTCACCCAAAGCATATACTGTATGTTGCTGTCAGATCGACTTTTTGCACTATTGAGCCCCTTTCAGACGTGATATATGCACCGCTGGCTTTTCACTGGCTTTTCGTTAAAGTGCTGACATCCTGTCAGTCAGACGTAGGGTGCTTTTACATTAATGTTTCTCACAATTTACTCCTATTTAATCTGTGATTTTTTTTATTTTATTTTATTTTATTTGCGCTTGTTGTTCACAAATATTTAGCCAGTGACTTCCCAACTTTGAATGACTAGAATTTTTACATTTTATTCAGTATGATGTGAAACCGACGACTGAGACCATAAAATCATCTGAAAAACTGAGCTGTGAAGAGGGTGTGGGCGTTTGTCTCATAGATTTAGGCACGATCCTAGAGACAGGTTGGCGACCACCTGGCGACCACCTGGCAACCACCGGTTACTGGGGAAAAATGAGTTTTCCCTGACCGGTTGTTTAACTATTAATTGCTGCTGTTGTCACTATGAACAGGGTATTTTTCTTAAGCGTGTGCATTGCACGTATAAGTAGCTGCAGACACCACTGACGAGTAGCATTTCCTGTTACTTTCTGCACATGTTGTTCGTAAACTGCAGCATCTCAGCGGGCAAGTCTATGTCATCACTGCAAATTGGCAGGCATGCAGATGTCTTGCACACCATCTGCTGATGCAATTTACATCACTCAAACTTGCCGACGTGGGATGTGGAACGCACCCATTACTGCATATATCCTGCTGAGAGAGCTGTACCCTGCCTCTCCTGCACAGGCTCAGAGAGATGTTTGCTGTTGTTTCAAAACAGAGTTGGCGAGATAAAATCTCATTGTGTACCTGGTATTTCTGTTCAGGTCTTTCACTTGAGAGCTCAACAACTCGCAGGTCCACACGATACGGTCGCTGTCCTAATCTTGCGAGTTCCTTTTAGGTTGCAATGCGACGCATGCAGTGTAGAAGTTGATACACTAATGTTTCAAGTTCAACATTAGTAAAAGCTTTGCCGTCATGGCTTTCACAGAAGAGTGACCGGGATCTTCCTTTGCACATGAAACCTACATGTTTTCATGCTGTCAGATCAAAGGGGAAGAGTGCATGTCTGAAAGGGGCTCTATATTTGAGATTAATCCCACTACGCAGATTCCTCCTCCCATATTTTGCACATCCCATCTCCCACTACCACTCCTCCCCCCCCCTTACTGTAAAACTAGAATCTGTTTGGTGCAATACAAATCCAGATGATTTATCAGTATGTAGTAATTATTTTATTGCTGACAGACGAATGGATGTACATGAGTACCAGTGGCCTGGGATGTTACTTCAGTTGTTTCCATAGCCATGTAATGTGATCTTAAAGGATTCTGCTATACAAACTATGTTTGCCCACCTGCATTGGTCTCATCAGAGAAACAAAAATATAAGAATTTTTTTTTTCCTCTTACACGTAATAGCATTATTTACTTTTTAAATGTTGAGTTGTCACTGTTTCCCTGGATTTTCTGTTATTTTCTTAAGTTGCAGCAAGGGACGCCTACCTCCACAGGAGCTCAGCTAGGGCTAGGCCTGAGAGTTGATGGGGTAACACTAATCTTGGATCAATGTCATTGTTTTTCTGCCATCTGTTCAGAGACGGGCAGATCCAAGGTGTCCAGCTGTAGGTCAAAAACTTCACCCTTTAGGGTGTGTTGTGCCCGACTACCGTTGTATGCATGTCACTATGGTTGCCATTTCAACATGAAGGAGGTGGGCAAGTCTCTGTCATGTGATAAATAACCATCAGCCCTTTGTTTGTTGAAGAACCTGGTGCTATACATCTGTTGTATATTTTCTTTATCATGTTTTTATACTGTTCAATACAGATGCAACAAACAGGTGTCTGTGACTGACCCAATAAAGAGTCTTTTGAGATAACCAGAGAGAGGTGTGAGTTATTCATTCATTTGTTGCTGTGGAGCCTGCATGTTCTCCCTGTCTTGCATAAGCATTGTCCCACAGGCATGTAGGGCTGGTTAATTAATGACTCTAAATCTGCCACAGGTGACCTATTCAGAGTGTACCCTGCCTCTCACCTGATGCCAGCTTGGATTGACTCCGGCCCCTACAAACTTGAGCAGATGAATGGTTGTGTATCTTACAGAAATAATAGGAAATGACAAAGGTCCTCATCTAGATGTAAACCAGGGTCATTTCTATAGTAAATACGTTCTTCAACCAGTAGTGTGGTTATCCTTGCAGTCACTGTAAACACCGTACAGGGTGTCTACATGCATTAATGTAAATAGAAAACAAAGTAATAAAAACACAAATAAAGTTCCTACAAATAACTATATACCACACATTTAACATACTCCCGGTATGGAGGGCCTTGAGTGCCAAAATGATTTAATACATCATTCAATTTGTTAAATTAAAACTGTTTAAACTTAAATAATTACATGTAATTTCATTTAAAACAATTATTTAATTTGGTATTTAATTCATTTTGACACTCGTGGCCCACAAGCACAAACCAGAGGAACAATAATTATTCCTTGAAACCTCTAATTTTCATACACATACCTTTACAGGAAAAGCGTGTGATTTGATGGCAATTTTATGGAAAAATATTATTTTCCCAGCATACAGTGTAAGCATTAAACTTGCCTTTTTACATCTTTATTTAATATGTCCATCATGAATATATTAATCAATTGTCCTTTTATTTTACCAATATAAATGTAACAGGGATTGTTCTCCCTTTCTAAGATAGAAGAAAAAATAAAGGCCATCAGTTAGTTGTGATTAAGAAATGAGTTAAGAAATTAACTCATTTCTTTTCCTTCTACAGTTCAAACACAATTTAGAAATACATCAACAATAAACTGTTCTAAATCCCTACTATATGATTACTATAAAGTGGGGGGGGATGGGAAAAAAAAAAACACCCATCATGAATATAAATATTAAATTAATGTAAAAGTAAATAAATATATAAAAATGCAAGATTAATCCAGTCCAAAAGTACAGCATACCTACAACGTGCTGGGAAAACATTGTTCTAATACCACAAAATTACCATGAAATACTTAAAATTACTTACACTTTACTTACAGTATAATTATTTGTTTACTGCAAAAACCTGACTTGTTACTCTTCCTTTAAGAATTAATAGAAAATGTATGTAACTTCAAGCAAAACTGAAATACCATTTCCATTTTTATTCTGTAAGATTTCAATGATTGAAATCGGACCTCTCTGAATTCGTCACATTTGTGGTGATTAACATGGTTTAATTATGTACTGGTAGAGAGGGAACTGGTAAGGGAATCCCAACCATTTCAAACAAAGAGAATCTAGAAAGGTCACATAGTTATTCAGGGCATTAAAACATGAACACAAAAGAAACATTTTGTCTTTGCTTCTTGTGTGAAATGGTGATTTGCTTTTTTCCCTGTTAAAGGTTATCAGGATATGTTTGCACTAAATTTTTAAAAAAGAGAACAAGTTTTGTTAAACTTGATACATTTATTTAATGACGAAACTTTAAACTGAAAACAACACAAATGTAACTTAAGGGTAAATATGACTCATTGCCTGATCACTGAGTCGATACAGAAAGGTAAATCTCTTTATTCAGGACACATTGGCCTCCTGGTTGATAAGAGGGTTGAGGTCCAGCTTCGTCTTCTCTAGAGCTGCAGTCTTGGCCCTCCGTGACGGACGCACCATGGAGGCCGACTCTGGGACATTTTCTCCATCGCTGTAGCCAAAGAGAGACGATGAGACGAGAAAATAAGTAAATGCACTTGTGATGAATATGTTACTGAATGGGTCTGTTTTCTATTTTGCTAAAATCAGCAAACTCGCCTCTCCTCTGACGACTCTGCCCTCCTGCTCGGCTTTTTGCCACCTTTGGCTGTGCATGCTTTCCTCTGACCTGTGAAAACAAAGACTCGGGTTACCTCCCAGTGCTGACTCAACTTCTTGCCTCGGGCAGGAGAGGAGGAGCTCTAAAAATATAGCGGCACTGAATGACTGCGGTTTTAGACGAGCATATAAAAACCCCTGCATTACCTCTTTTGGGTCTCTTGGCAGATTTTGATGGATCATCTGCCGCAGCCTCTGTGGAAACAGAAAACAGAACTCATTTTTCTGCATTTCCGCCCTCAGCCTGCTGCATTTTTATCTAAACAAACACCGAATGGGACAGAGCGAGTCATTTTTAATCTACTTAGCAACATGTTGGTAAAGTCATGTAATCCTTTTGCAGGAGCGCTTGTCACAAATTAGCATTTTAAATCTATTTAGACACACACTCAGGAGGTAACATAAGTTGGAGATGCTCCATGGGATATCAGATGGCCATTCCTATTTAAAGTCTGTGTTTGCATACGTACCATCTGCATTGACATCCAGGGGTTGTAACGCAGTGGTGCTGAGGAGCTCAGCCTGCTCTTTTGAGTCCGCCAGCTGATAAATCATCTTCTCCAGAGCACGGAGACAGACACGATCCTTCACCACCTGAAGGAAAGGAGGAGGGAAAGGGGTGAACTTAAACAATGGGCCTTTTAACAGACAGATATGCAGGTACAGGTCTGTGCTCCACACTACATGAGCTCGGTTTGATGAACTGCTGTGAAGGTTTTTCTATATATCCTGATGATTTCTGTCTTTTGACATTCACACACGTGACACTTTCACCACTAGGGGGGAAGCATGTTAAGATGTTTTTGGACTTATAGTGCCATTTTCCTCCCGTCCTTTTAACTATTCCTCAAGAAACTTTACAAAGGTGTCCTGGCAAAAGGTAAAGAGGAATACGTTCTCGTTGACTTTGATGTTTAAATGAAGATTAAACTGACTCAATCCACAATCTTGTGGTACAAGCTGGTATTACATTATAATACAGCCTGGTTTAGCTGATTTTCAACTCCACAGAAAACACATTTTGTTCATAAAGTCGGAGCTGCTGTTTTCTCCACTTTATTCTAATGAGAAGTGTAGTTAATTCTGGAAAATTTTCAACTGTTTTTAAAACACAACATGGACCTATGATGTCGTTCATGTGTCCCGTTACAGTTGCTAATGCTATGTTCACAATCAAAGTCAAAGGCATCACACTGCTTTAATATCTTCATTTGAGACAGTGGTGCTCACAGTGTCACTCTAAATGTGACCACAACAGCTCCACCCACTTGCTGTTTAAACGTTCTGTTTGCAAGGACAAAACAAATCAGCAGAAGTTGGCTTAAAGGAAGAAGAACTAAAAGAGCTTATTTCAGATAAACCGAGTAGCTGCACAAAGTCTTAGTATAAGGTAAATAAGGATTATTTTAAACTGTGAATCAGTCCCAGGATATAAAATATGGAGCTTGAAATGAACAGAACATGTTCAATACTTTGATTTTGTTTTTTTTGGTTGAAAACAAACAAACAAACAAAACAACGAAAAAAAACCCAAAGAGCTTTTTTAATTGCAATTTTCACAGCTTTAGCTATAATTTGTGATTAGTTCTCACTCGTGTTTGCGTCTTCTCTTTTTGGGTGGAGTAACTAACGAATTTCTACCCCTGTTTAAAGTTAACTCAGAGAAAACTTTTGCGATCTCTCCCAGACCAAGCAGCTCCTGAGCATCTATAGGTCCCTCCTTCTTTATGTTCTTTTTCCTTTTCTTTGTAAAGTTTTAGCAGTCTGCTGTTTTTTGGCAGTACCTTATTTTAGCTTTTTATTTATACAACCTCATTAAGGGTTGTCCTCCAGCCCATTGTGTGGCTCCCTCAGTCTCCTTCCACCTTTTGTTTCTTCCAGGCCTTCATTTCGTTTTGTGTTGATATGGTTGCCAATATCACGTGGACTACGTTACAGTGGTGCGATAGCAGTAGGCTCACCTGTACAAGCTGCTGCAGCAGCGTCTGCAGGTCCTCCCTGACGGTCTCGTCTCTGCTGAGCTCCAGGTTGCTCAGAGTCTTTGCATAGAGGCGCACCTCGGGGGCTGTGGGGTCCTTCATCATCTCGCCACAGATACGCACAGCCATGTAGTCATGGACACACACCTCCTGAGACATACACAGGTATACAAATACAATTATTCAGAGATTAATAATAACACTGTTTTAGCCTTGTTGTTATTACTAGATTAAACCTTTTACAACACTTTAGAACTAAATTAAAATCTGCTCACGCTTACTTGACCTGCAGTAATCCTGTGAAACATTTTGCAGACTATTAGCTTGTATTTCAGGGAAGATGTATAACAAACGCTCAGTGAGGCAATAAAAATATCTTTGGTGTTTTCCTTGAACAGAGCCACAGACCCAACAGTAAATCCACACTCCTAATATAATAAGATTATAAATAGCTTTTTGGAATTTGGGTTTAATTTAAAATCTTCCTGAGTCTCTTCCTCAGTCTCCGATGTTTCTCACCTCAGTGTTAGTTGAAGGTTTAATGAGAGCTCCCGGGCGAGTCAGCTCAACAAAAAGCTCGACTACATTGTTGATGTCCACCTCAGCGAGCGGAGACGTCGCCGGAGCGTTCATCAGAGTCCGAACGGTCAGCAAGAAACTCTCCTCCACGACTTCCTGGTGAGCCCTGACGCATAAAAACACCATTTTGATGTCACATGATCAGCTGGGGGAGATTCCATGCCAAATAAAAGTGACCACATCACTCAACATGCACATTAGTGACCTGCTCTCGCGGGCGTAGAGCTGGAAGAAGACGCCGAGGCAGTGTCGCAGGCGTATGTCGTCCTCTGTGACGGGATTGTACCACAACAGCACCAGACGGGACAGCATCTTGGCGCTGGAGATGCGGCCCGTGTACATGAGTTTGGCCAGGCCCTCCGCTGTCTCTGTCCGCAGGTCGGACACCTGAAGGATGTTCACAGCACATGTATCAGACATCTATAAACACCCACATGCATACTGTA